GGCCCGCCAGGGTGCTTACCCTGGCGAGCCGCATGCCAAACGTTGCCGACCCCTGAATTACACCATTTTACAGTATCAATTTAAAAGATACTCCAAATATATTTAGAGTCCATGAAACATTCTAAGTAAAGGATAATGTTTACTAAAACTAAATGGAGATGATATTCTTATAACTTTTAAAACTAAATTGTTGGTTTAAAACTCACCCTTGCTTAAGAAAGGTTTGAACTTCTTGGGGGAAAAACCTGGCAAAAATTGTTACCCATCGGACAAGAGCAAAGAGTAGGTGGGAGAAGCTATTTCTAAGGTGTTTCCCTTTCATTGATCACAAGCTATTCCTTAAACCTAGGATGGGGACAGATCAGGGACATAATTTCTGATGCATGACAGACTATATAAGAAATTGTATCACCAGGTTAATCAGAGCTCTGGGCCAGGACTAGCACTTTTTGACCTAGACTTTCTATAATAATAATTAATGGAGATATCCCATCTCCTAGAACTGGAAGGGACCTTGAAAGGTCATTGAGTCCAGCCCCCTGCCTTCAGTAGCAGGACCAAGTACTGATTTTGCCCTAGATCCCTAAGTGGCCCCCTCAAGGATTGAACTCACAACCCTTGGTTTAGCAGGCCAATGCTCAAACCACTGAGCTATCCCTCCCCCCCTGCAACCCATGGATCAGAGCTGGGGACAAGTGAGGAGTTGCAAATCTGGCACTGTTCACTGTAACTCTTGAGAAATTGAATTCCCAACGTCAAGGACTAAAGACAAGTTGCAGTTTTTTTAAAAGTAAGAAAAAAACTGATATTAATCTAATGTCATAATTGTATCTGGGTGCAAAATCTGGCAGTGATGCATTTTCTTCCATTATGAAAGACAGCTGCATGTAAAGAAGCAGAAGCCTTTCCTACACCCAGAAAGGATGGCTGGCACAAGATACTTGTGCACAGGCTGTGGAAAAATAACGTAGCATGTTGATTCTTCTACATTTGTGAGTTTGGGAGGGATTATTACTGAGGTCATGTGGTGTGTATTTGAGGGTGTGTGGTGCAGGAGTATGAGTATGAAACACTGCTAATGATGTTCCATGAAGCAACCAAAGTGACACTGTGAATACAGGCAGCATGACAAAGGCTGCCAGAGTGGGTGCCATAGGAAGGAGTGGAGCATGCATATGGTCCAGCAGTAATTCCAACAATTACCTGGAAGGTTGTTGTTCAAGATACTGGCCAGTAGCTCCCAGTTGTCACCTTTTGCCTTA